TCAATAACTGCACTTTAGTACAAGTAACCGATCACTGCATGAGTAAAATGAGCTCAAACATTCCATGGCAAAGTATCAAACAGATAGAAAATCTAGTACCCAATTTGATAACTTGTTCAGTAATAGGTGTACTTGGTCTTGTTCCCAAATGAAACAACAGCCTTTGACAGAGCGAACTAACTGTATTGCTTAAAGGGCCACTTCCTCTGAATAAAACAAATATTAGGTGTTAGATACATTCTTGGGACGTCCTCCTGACGTGAAAGGCGCTATACAAATGTAACTTATTAAAGAAAAAAGACAGGGCTTGACAACCTTATCAATCTGTCAAAGAAATTGCAACAGCACCAGCATAATTCACTTACCCGCTCCTCTGGGATGAATGCAAATCAGGTCACCATAAACAAAAGGTTCCAAGATCCACTCATTCTGATAATTCAGAGCCTCAGGTTTTAGTAAGTAGTCAAGATTACAACTCATTCTTGTGGCTATTACTGCTCTTCCTTGTCATTCTCTCACTAGACTAGAGCAGATAAAATATGATCAACACAAGCACAGCAGAACTCACCTGAGAAGTCCTAATTCAATGGCAATTGAAGAACAAAGAAAACTTGGAACGTTTCATGCAAACTTTTCCTGATCTTCAAATGAAGCAATACTGGCAGCAAAAACATTGCTTAATTGACAGGTCATCGACCTGATAGGATATTTTCCTCTTTCCATAGATGCTGCCTGACCTGCTGCGTGTTCCCAGCAATTTCTATTTTTATTTCAGATTTCCAGCATCTATAGTATTTTGCCTTTTGCTTAAATCACAGACAGACATTCTCAAAAGTTCACACCTCAATCCATCTCCTCAGTGTTTCTCTGGGAATCTGTGACAGCTCCTCCCTGAGTGGTCTAATCAATGCCGTGGGCCAGAAGATATAAGAAATAGGTCTTCTTCCATGGTTGGGATAACATCATCTGTATTCTCTCCTGGAATCTAGCGAATGATCAGAAATACAACAGGAACCAAGGTTTCATGGACAGCAGCAAAGGAAATGTCTCTCTTCGAGGGGCTGGATAAACTATCCTAACATCTTAACCTGGAACAGACTGAGATGTCAGCACGTAGCCAAGAAATTCAACAGTCAAAGACCCAATTTGTCAAAGATACAATTGGATGTGGAGGGTCATGTCTTGTGAATGGATTCAGACTGTGCTGAGTGCATTTCCTTCTCCTGTTCTGCACTCTTGAAGATTATAAGACGACAGGTCCACCAAACGACTCTCAAAAAACACAAGGCACACGGTCAAAACAGGGTAACACTTTCAGTCTAGCTTGCTGATATAGCTGTTCTGTCTTCAAGGGACTGAAAATGAAAGTGGTAAGGCGGCCTGAGTAACATTCAATGAGTTGCTGCATTTTTCCAGGGTTCATTTGATGTAATCTTCATACGAGTTGTCCATTAGCCTTTTTTCATCCAAATCATCTCAGATCTAACATTTTTCGCCAAACATGGCACAGAACAATATCCTGGCCACTTATCCTGGACCCAGTTTCTAGAGGATTCACTTCAAAATGCTGCAGTTATTGATTATTCCACAGAAGTCTGTGCAGTTCTTAAATTCACTTAAATTCCCACCTTTGCAGTTCATTTTTTTGGTACTTCAGAAATCCAGCTCCCAAAATCACTGAATGAGAAACAAGTGCTGAACTTTTAAGAGATTGGTGGTACACCTTAAAACCAAGAGGGATTCTGAATCTCAGTTTTATGCAACTAATGGCATTGAGGCAAAGCGGGTTCTACAAGAACTGCCTGGACCAATATGCCTGGATAATCTTGGCTTCAGTCCACGTTGCTGAATTCCGACCAAATTCTGGCAATAGCTTTGAAAACTGATTGCCTGTATGTATATGCGTCAGACATAAGGAAAGAAAGATCCACTGCATTCAGATATTTTGAAGCCAGGAGTTCAATAATATCATAGATAATTAACACAGGCCACTAGCAACAGTTGTAGTTGAAAATGGCCCAAGAACTGTATAACCTCAAACTTTGAAGAGAATGTTTACAATACAAGCAAGCAGACAAGTGTTGCACTCTTTCTGCTGTTGGATCCCTAATATTTAGGAGAAAATGAACAAAGGACACTCCAGAACAATGCCACTCACAAGTATTGTTAGAGGAAAATCTGACTATCCACAAAATCCAGATTTAAAAAAATGTCCAATGGCAAGTCACTGGTATTCCATATTTATATATGCACATATAAAAAAATAAACAAATCAGCAAGAATGAGCACTTCTAATTTAGTAAATATGTCTATAATAATGCTTGCATTTGATATAGCGCTTTATCACATCTTTGAGACATCTCAAGTGTTTCACAGAATACGGTGTAAAGTGAATTGACTATTTTGTGGGCAGCTAATTGTGCACAGCAGTGTCCCACAGACAGTCAAGGATTGAGTGACCAAGTTATTATTATTAATTTTTTTGAAGGAATTGTTACCCCCGAAAAGCGATCCACTAATTAACTAACAACGAGGTTCCTAATTATTGCTAAGTAAACAGAGGCGTGTGAAATAAAGAAATTTGCCCAACATTTGGCCCTGCCTGGAATCGAACCCAGGACTCTCGCTTGTGAGGCGAGTGCTCTAACCACTGAGCTACAGGACTCCAAAGTTCTCTAAGCTGCTAAAGTGTGGATACTCAAGACTTTGCCAAGTTTCCAAATTGGAAGATACGAGGAAGCATCAATGTTTTCGCTGAAATACCCACAGTAGAACTGCACTGAAACTTCCGTAGGCACACATACAAATCTAATTCTGTTGTATTGATGTGCTTTTTACAGGGTGGTAGAAAATGCAAGGCATTTGCCGCGGGGGGTAGAGAGGAAAATCGCATACAATAACTGCACATTCTGTGCAACATTACCGATTTGTGCGACATTGATGATCAGGACAGAATGAAGTTCACCCTCAAGTAATGAAACAAAAATAGAATGGTTTTGTTACCAGGAGAGGAGGACTTGAATGTATGCTCGACAATTTGGAAATGAAAAATTTATTGGGAAAACAACCTGACCAAGCTCACATTACGAGCCTCCTCATTGTCCTAGGATCTAAAGATTGACAAGTATAGCAATAAGCTAAAAAGAGAGAGTTTCTAAGTTAATCAACCTCAGGCAGAAGTAGGGATTAACTGTTTAGAGATGCATGATGATGTACATAGATATGTATTGAGAGAGGAAAGGATCGGGTTTAGCAGCAACGGCTTGCGATTGAATATTCTGCAGTCAAGGCTCACATATGAATATGGAAGGTACCAGAGGGAATATATAGAACAAAAATTAGACAAAATGCATTCTGGAAAGGAGGGGATAAAACAATGACTATGTTTCTAAACCTCAGCATATGGTAAATAAATATTTTCAAATATTTATGATAAAAGGCAGTGAATTTCAGTGCTAAGATTTGTGAATAAAGTGGATAAGGAATGTGGTTCCGAGTTATAAATGGCTTTTTATTATTCACAAAAGTACAAAAGACCAAGCAGGTTCTACGCCATCTCTCATCTGGAGCGTAGGAGAATCACGGTCCACACACTCGGCAGTTTGCAGAGTGCACAAGTACAGGTTTCCAGTCTGTTCAGACCTTTCAGGTACATCGCTGCCGAACCACTGAGCAAGGGATAACCAGAAATTAGGTAAAACATTTCCTCCAATATATACATAAACACTGATAACATTGGGAATCAATTGACCCCCTAGACCCATGCAAATTGAGCCCTGTTTGCACTTCTAAACCTGCCTTAAGATGCATCTCTTCAACTTTGCTTTGGGTCATCTTTCTTCACCCTACTACTCCCGCTCAGGTGCTCAGCACTTTGAGACATCCCCCCGACGTAAAAGGCACATCATCAATGTAAATTAATGTTGCTGTCCGCAGATAAAATCACACAGTATTTCAGTAGCAAGTACACATTGAATCATTAGCTAAATACGCGTACTCTTCCCTTTTTTTGAAAAAGATTTAACAGTACATTTCACACTTCAAGGCAAAAACAAGGCAAACTCAAATTCATATCCAATTGCGCTTTCGCTGAATGCAACAGCTTAGTAGATACAAGTACAGCAGAAGCTGCAAGAGATGGGCAGATACCAGAAATGCGCTTTCGACTATAGTCACACCACCTTACGATAAATCCTGTGACTCGCCTTGAGATGTTCTCCTGACATATGTGCTGTACCAAATGCAAGCATTATTATTTATTAATAATGTAGTGTCTCTCCACCTCCCAACCACCCTCCCTCCCCTCCCCTCTAACCTTAGACTTGGGCTTCTTTCAAGAAAAACGCATCCTTGAATTTTTTTTGGGGGGTTGGGAAAATTAATCAAAAGTTTTGTACAAAAAAAGCTGGAAAATCTTCACTGATCACTTGCAACTGGGAATGCAACCACACGGGGACACAAACAGCGCAGCATATTTGTGCAGCGGTAGATCACGCTCTTACCTTCAGTTTATGTGGGGGGGGATGTGGGAGCATTTGGTGGACATTGGTGCAGCTTTGCCAACGCGTTTGGCTTTGTAGAACAAGTTCCAGGCAGAGAGCATGCGCAGTGCCGGCGGCGGCTCCGAGGGGGGGGCAGGAGGGCACGACGCATGCGCCGTCGCATGGCTGCCGGCTGCAGCAGTTGGTTGCAGCGCGCGCGCTGCAGCTCCAGTGCGGCTGCACAGCCGCGGGGCCGCCCGGGCGGCGGCGCAGGGGCGCACAGTGCGCCGAAACAGCGATGGAGACAGAAAAAAAAGGGTGAGGCGATGAGGCGGGAGGAGAGGTAGCGATGGAGGGAGGATGGGGGGGGGTTGCCGTCAGACATTTTTTCTCTCTCACTTCTACACCTTTTTACAACAACTAACCGACCGCCAAACGCCCACATTCACAGCAAACCCGAGTCAACCGCCCTCCCTCCCTCCCTCCTCGCCTAACGGGAGTCACAGGCTGCTCTCTTACCTTTTTCCACTGTCCGAGAAGTGAACTCGCCGTTTTTTTCTCTCTGCTTTCTCTTTAACTTATTTTTTAAAAAATATAGAGATATTTATATACATATAATTTTTTGGGGGGGGCCTTTTTTTTAAGAAAATACCTCCGCCCCCCTCCTCCTCCTCCTCCTTTCTACTTCTCTTCCCTCCTCCTCTTCGTATTCCTCATCTCATTTACATTAACACCCATCCCTCCCCCCGGGGCGTCGTTCGTCGGTTTGTCGTCTAATCTAACCGCCGTGAATGAGTTTACCCTCACGCGCCCCCTTCAGTCGGGAATGTGGCGGTGGGTGGGTGGGTGGGGGAGGCTGCAAGTTAATGCGAGGGACCACGCCTTTTTTTCCTCCCTCCCTCTTTTTATTGTTCCTATTCTTGTTTACTGCGGCCGTTGGTTATTGACTGACTGACTGGGAGGGGGGAGGCGCTGCTGCGCCGCCGGCGGCGCGTGCGCTTCTGCGAGCGGCGGTTGGTGTCGATTGTGCCGATGACGCAACGCTTCTATATGCAAATGTCGGTTTGAAAGAGCCAATCGCTTCCCGCGGAGGCCTGTGACGGAGCGCTCGTTTGTAAATGATTGGCGGGGAGCGAGCCAATCCCCTCCCGCTAATTCGGATGATGGACCGTTAATATGCAAATGAAGGAGGCGTGGCGGCGCGTGCGCATTTGCGACCGGCGGGAAGAGAATCGCGGTGCGGGGGCGTGGTATGTAAATTAGATGTGCGGGGGGCGGGGCTGGATTTGCATACGGCGCGGGGTTGGGTTCCCGGCGCGGTTTGCTGCTCAAAGCAGGAAGAGGCCCCGCACCGGGGGGGGGCGGTTCAAGCCCACAGAGGAATGTGTGCTGATACCCCCTCCCGCCCCCCAGTGCTGATACCCCCTCCCGCCCCCCAGTGCTGATACCCCCTCCCGCCCCGTCCCCCAGTGCTGATACCCCCTCCCGCCCCGTCCCCCAGTGCTGATACCCCCTCCCGCCCCGTCCCCCAGTGCTGATACCCTCCGGTGTTTGAGATACCTCCACTGGTGCAGTGTCCCGAGATCGTTTCTTGGCGATGTGCAGATCTCTTCTCCCTCTCTGTTTGATCAAATGCAATCTGGCTGATTGGAAATGCCTTTTCCCTCTCCCCCTCCTGAACAGACCCAATCATCAAAACAACTTTTTAAAAAATCTTTAAAATCTCACTCTAATGACAAATGTGCCATTTTTGTTTATTATTAACTTTGGTGATTTACACATCTGCTGAAATGTGGTTTTCGATCCTGTTCTTAACTTTGAGACCCATTTTTAAAAAAGAAATAAAAACCATTAAGTTGCTCTTTGCTGCTCGTTTTCCAATCACAAAATCCTATTTGAAAATCACAACAGCCCCAATACACCAACGTGAGATTGATATTCGCTACGCATTGCACTACAGCTGTAAACTAAACATGTGTTCCTAAAGTCATGCATGTAATTCAGCACCGAAAATCCACTCCTGGAACAAAGTAATTTGAATCCCAATTCCTCTCACTCGCCAGTATTGTCGCTGCTGAGCATCAGTTCCAATACTGCAGCTAACAGGAAAATAGTTTGCAAAAGGGAAATAGTTTGCAACAAGTCTGACAAATAGTCAGCAGCTGTTCCTCAAAAGTCCAGCACAGGTCCATTCCACTCATCTACAAATGTATGTGGAAATAAATGAATGAAATCCAGATTTGTCACAGTTCCAGAGAGAACACAAGAAAGCGAGCACAACTTGGCTCCATTGAACTTAAATGCAACAATTGCAAATCATTTAAGAACTTTACAGGAAAAACAAGGCACTGATCGATAAAATGCAGCAGGCTCTCTCGTGTGTATACTGCACTTATGCACATTGAAAACTGAACAGTCTGACTGACTCCACACATTCATGGCTTCAATCTCTCAATAGTTCAACCTTTCTCAAGACCTTTAGAGTTGCCACCAATGCAGCTTTAACCCTGACTGTTTTTTTCAGTGGGTTGTCTGGAAATTATCAAAAAATGAAAATGGACACCAAAAGTCCATTTTTTTTAAACAAACCATTTTACATATATTTCTCCGATTTGCGAAAGAAGAATTCATCATTGATTTACTTTAAGGTAAATCAAATCAGCTGAATAAAGTTAACATTGAATTAGGAGAAGTAAACTGTTAATTAAAGCCATCATCCTCATTCTGCCTGTCCGGTTTTTAACCTGGTGCAAAGGGATCAATTTTATCAATATCAATGTTATTCAAAGCTTTATCTTGGAGTCACCTTTTTAGTATAATATTGGTCTATATTGAAGATTAAGTCCATTCTCAATAATATAGCAATAATGATCGTTGCATTTGATATAGAGTTTTATCATGTGGTCGAGATGTCTCAAAGTGCTTCACAGCCTCCGAGGTTGTGGGTTCACAGGTGAAACACAGCAGCCAGTTTGTGCACAGCAGTGTCCCTCAAACAATCATGGAGTAAGTGAAAAATTTATTTGGGGAATTTGTTGGCCAGGAAACCAGAAAAAAATTCCCTTCTCTTTTCGTATAAAGTGCCATGGTATCTTTAAGGAACAGTAATAATAATAATAATCCTTGCTTTTGATATAGCGCCTTATGACATCTTCGAGACATCTCAAAGAGCTTCACAGAATGTACTATAAAGTGAATTGACTGTATTTTGTGGGGCAGCCAATTGCACACAACAGCGACCCATAAACAGTCGTGGATAAAAAAAAGTCGTAGATAATAAGTGACCAATTTATTATTTTTTCTTGAGGGATTATCAGGCTTGTGGAGTTAGGAAACTTCCCCAGGGTTTTGCCCTGCCGGGAATTAAACTCAGGTCTCTCGCTTGCGAGACGAGTGCCCTAAACACTGAGCTGCAGGACTCCAGTCCAATGGGACCTCAGTTTAAGGTCTCATCTGAAAGACGACACCTCCGACAATGCAACTCCCCCTGCAGCACTGCATTGGAGCGTGAGCTTGTTTGCATGTTCTGACTTGGGGATTGAACCCACAAGCTCGGAGGCGAGAGTGCTACCACTGAGCCAGACTGATACGTTCTCTTAAATTACTTAAACAATGTTCAAGATACAATTACTTAGAATTCTGCTACAGCACAATCATTCGCCCCCAACTGGATTGTCGGGATGAAAACATGTCCGGTCTGGGAAGAACAATGGGCTGGTGTGATAAACTAATCATTTGGGTTAGACGTAATTAAAAATCAACATTAACAAGTTGTGTTTGAATGGTGGGAAAGTCTGGCTGAGCTGAAGATCAGAATCCACACACGTCTCCGCCAACTTACAGGACAGGCATTTAAGGATAATAATAATAATAATAATAATCCTTGCATTTGATATAGCGCTTTTCACATCGGGAGGACATCCCAAAGCGCTTCACAGAATATACTGTAAAGTGAATTGACTGTATATTTGTGGGCAACGCGGCAGCCAATTGCGCACAGCAATGTCCCACAAACAGTCGTAGATTGAAAATGACCAATTTATTATTGTTTTTGGTTTTGGAGGGATTATTATTAGGCTCTGTGTGGAGTAAGGAAACTTGCCCAAGGTTTCGCCTTGCCTGGATGGAATATATTGAAAATTTTGCGCTTTGTTCAGTTTTTTGTTGTACAAAATACTATATTTTCAAATAAATATATATTTTCAAAAAAAAGGACAGGCATGTTATTGTAGGTTTTTCTATTCCATATGATTAGCAATTTAAATGATTGTATGAAGTTTCTCCTGTGTGAAGTCTCATTAAGTCCAAATAAATTTATTGGACGCAATACTCTCCAGTCTTGTGATGAGAATGATTTCTTAAAGAACCCCACAGGCTTGTGCTGATATTTATGGACCCTGTAGTGTTTTGGTGAGAGCACTCATCTTGCAAGTCAGAGGGGCAGAACAAAATACTAGGCATATTTCCTTACTCCTCTGTTCACCTAACAAATAAGTAAGGTAAGTTGATTGTTAGTCGAGTGGCAGATTGCTTTTCCGGGATATTAATCCCTTCAAAAATACATTTTTTAAAATTGCCACTGAATTTATGCTCCACACGAGACTCACCGCTATCCCTTCTCCCCTTGTATGCAAAACAGTATTATACCTAGTAACACGAGCAAATGTTATTGCTGTAATAAAGTAGGCACTTACAAGCATGTCCTATTACTTTGCCGAGGCAGTGCATCTCAACAAATTGAACCTTTTCATTTCATTTTGCATCAATAATAACGATCATAATGCTGCACAATGTAATGCTGTGTAAATGTAATGTGTTGTTGATACTGTCATACCTCCAACCATGCATCATATCCCCATCACGTCAGCATAGACTGCGCTCGAAATAGCATGAGGTGGGAACCGACAACCATCTGATTGAGAGTGCTACCAACTGAGCCGGGCTGACAGGAGGATCAAAGGGCAAATTAGAAAAACAAACCTCACACGGGGGGAGGTTGGAATGTGAAATTCCATTGTGGGTATAAAATTCTTAAGGAAATTAAGGTTGCTAAAGAGAAATGTTAAAGGATATGGGAAGCGAGGAGAATGGGATTAGATTAGGTAATGTTACTGGAGTCCTGTAGTTGGCGGTTCAAAACAACCCAAGAATAATCAGCTGGTCACTCAAATCATGTCTGTTTGTGGGACACTGCTGGGCGCAATTGGCCGCCAAGTTTCACCCATAAAATGCACACCTCAAACATGTTCACTGTGCTGTTACTGCAGCTAAAGTGGATCAGAGAATAATTTCAATCATAGCCAAGTCGCATATCAAACATCGCAACTGTAAAGATGTGGTTTAGTGACTGCAGCTGCAGTGGATGTTGGCACAGTCATAATTTATACAGCAACACCTTAGACTGAAATTGAACGACATAGAATGAGAGACTGTACAAAAAACACAGACCTTTCAGCCCAACCAAACCGTCAGTGTTTATGCTCCACACAAGGCAAAACCTTAGGCAAGTTTCCTTATCCCACACGCCTCTGTTTCCCCGGCAGTCAGTAGGAACTCGGTTGTCAGTCGATTGACAGATCGCTTTTAAGGGATAATCCCTCAAAAAAAAAGTCACTCAACCCACGACTGG